GGCGGAAGCGCGATGTGGAGGGCCTCGGCGGCGTGGAGGAACGCGTTGAGACGAGGGCGAGGGACCGTCGCGCTTCCCGTGTACACGAAGCCGAGGATCGCTGCCAATTCCGGGGCCTCCACCCCTGCAAGGATCACCGTGATGGGCTCGCAATGGGTGGACGTTTTGCTGTGCGCGAGCAACACCTCCTGAAAGAGAGAAAACAAGGTCGAAACTGGATTATTCGATCGAGAGAGAGTTTCGCGAATACTTTTAACGAGCATTCGTGTCTAGATTATACGCGAAATTGTGAAATTTCGCTGCGACGTGGCCAACTTCCTGGCTTCGGAGTTGGACGACACGCTGCATTCCACGCCGAGAATTTAAATTCCGCGTGTGCGTTCCAGAGGGGAGACCTCTTTCGGTTCTGGGAAAAGGTCAGAGATGATCTCGTATCCTAGATTCGTTCGTTTTAAAAGAATACTCTCGTCTCTGCTAATTTTATTCAACGTGCGGCCAAGAAAAAATTTAAGCGACCGTTTCTTGAGATTTTATAACGCGATGAAAACGGTCTTTTTCGCTAGATGAATTTATCATAAGTTTATCTCTCGAGGCTTTAACGTAACTCAAATTTTATCATAGATCGAAGACAGTTTTAGTTGGGACGTTTACTTTCCTTAATGAGCTTTATAATTCTATTGGCCGTATAAAAAGAATTTTATATCAGAATTTATAAAATTTCATCGACTATCTGAAAAGATTTTACTTCTATCACGAAAGATATTTTAAATGAAATTATAACGAGTTCACCTCTTGATCTCATCTGTTCACAGAGAGACTTCATCTTATCTATATTATAAATGAATTTTCGCTCGAAACGAGAGCGAAATGAGTGGTATCCTTGCGATATCCTCTTCCAATGCGATTAGAACTATGCAACTATGTTTCTAATGCAACCGAACGCGTAAGTAGAATCGGTGCGAGTTCTTTAAATGGCTCGGCCGGATCGCGATCTACGTCCGTGTGCGCGATGCAAAACATTCAACGACGTAAGCGTTATCTTGGATCATAAATCTTCAGAATAGAAGAACGCAGAACGATCGTGCATTTCGAATTGGCAAGAAAAGAATATTCCGACTGGTTGTATGTGGTGAATGAGAAAATTAAATGAATCGAGATATTTAACCGTATATAGCATACGTGTAATAAGATTGTGAAAAGCTCGTTGTGATTATATAAATTACTTCAAAGATAATCGAATATTAAAAAGCAATAACTTAGAAAGATAAAAATAAGTAAAAAAGTTCAAGGTAGACTGGGTTAATAGGTTGTATGCCTTGTATAACACCGCTATCGATAAATTGCTCGTATATATAATAGTATAATATCATTTTTATGTTATATTTACAACAAAAAATAATGATTTTTTTGATTGCTTGATTGATATGTCCTTTTCGATTTCCTATGATTTTTTCTTATTATTTCGACGATTCAGAGATTCTAAACAGAAAGCAAAAGAATTGAATTTGAATGTAATTCCTCGAGTATAAAAATTTCGAGTCTGAACTTATCAAATGGACCAAGCCATTGAAAATGTCAAATGCCGCCAACTCTGTTATCAATTATACAATTTTTTACTTATTATAAATGCGATAGAATTAAGTATCATTGCTCAGAAAGCAATCTGTCGTTCTTTTTTACTATCGTACAAAATACATTAATAAATGCAAATAAATATATCGGCGAATCTATGAATAATCGAATATAAAAATAGCTGTAATTCTATCAGATTTGAATTTTTCATTTTTTTTCTTTTGGACTGCTGTACGTACAAATTAAAATAAATCCAAAAAATTAATGATATTTCGCAATATCGTTCGTAAAATGAATAAAATAGAATAATTTTCCATAATATGCGAGATATAAAATGGATATAAAAAAAAAAAATAAAATAAAATAGGGAAAAAACCCTAGAAATTGGTAAACATTACAAGAATTTAAAACGAAGAGAAAAACCAATTGAAAGTTTCGAACACTTTTAACACGTAATTCATAGTAGAAAATAATTTAAAAGATAAATTATTCGATATCAACGACTCTTTTTACACGTAATAAGAAACGTATAATTATTACACTAATTTTCTAACGAGATAAAACCGTGAACGATAGCACGACGTAAGTAATGGCCATCATTAGAGAACCGCGGTGAACTTTTCTTTGATGCATAACCAACCGATGTCACGATGAGAGAAGCACGCGGATGGAGAAATGGTTGCCAATCGATTTTCGTATCTCGAGAAATCATTTTCAAACGTATATACATAATTACCTAACCCATAATTCTGTTTTTCCTTTTTTTCCCATCTAATAAAATATAGCAACACCTAGAGAATTCCATGAACATTCTGAAAATAACTGTTCCATTAATCTATATTAAAATTAGAACGACGTGGTTAATAAGTTTCCGCTTTTTTGTATGAATAAGGTCAAATTAATTAGAATTAGCAACAACGTGGTTATTTTCACTACCATTTTTTGCTGGTACGATTATTTTTGCGAGAAATGTAGAAAACATTTTATTTCTTTCACTTTCTACAATTTCCGGTATTAAATAATTAGTAGAAATCAGCTCGATATCGACGAATTCACGATTATATTTTATATACATAATACCTTTCCATTTATAATCAGATTAACTAGTCTCTTTTTCTATTCATTTTTCCTATCCATTCTATCATGAGATATGATGCATCAAAAAGAGAATTAGTTTTCGAATATTTGTTTTATAACCAATGAATGAATTGAATGAAATGTTAGTGTGGCAGATTTAAAGTAATTATTGTATTAAACTTGTATTAAAATTATATTAAAAAAATCAAAGAAAAATTTTTAAATAAAATTGTAAAAAATTCCTAATTATGAAAGTTTTGACAATAACAAATATTGAATTTGACACGAAACTATTGTGAAACTATTAGAAAATACAATTTAGATAATCCTATAGAATCAAAAATATCTCGATATTAGTTTTCAATTATATCAAATTAAAAATATCATTTAACATTGAAAAAATAAAAAAAATCTCTAAATATATTTTATCAATCATTTAACTAGTTGTAAATTATAAATTGAAATTATACACTTGTTGCAAGAAATGTTACACAAGATGTAGTTCCTGGATCATTTTATTATTTCTACTTTTAGTAAATAATCATCCATAATAATTAAATTATTCTATTAAAAAGCGGTACTATATTGTTGCATAAAAAATCTAACAGATGATATTAAAAAAAAATTGATTCGAATCGAGATCTTATATAAAATAATTTCCGATGTTATTGCACGTAAGAATTAATCATGGTTTTACATAAAAAGTTGAACAAATATATATCTGTAAAATTTTTGTTATACATTTAATATAATATTAAATTGTTTTACAATTAATTCTATTTTTAATTACTAAGATTTTGCAACAATTCTTCAATGATTTTTTCATATAATATTATTTATCATTATTTATCATTTATTTTCATTATTTATCGTATATTTTTTAGAAAATATTTTGTCGATAAAATAGAAAAATAAAATAATTATTGAATAAATCTAGGATTGCGATGATTTAAATATATCCCATGTATATACATCCATTTTTATCGATTTTAATATCGATAAAATCTTAAAAGCTTTTTTTTTGTTAAGTGATTAGAAGAGCATGTATTAAATCACACTATATATATATATTTATTAAAAGAACATTTAATTTCATTTTATGAATTCATACTATGTTTTACCACTTATACCGTTAAATCTATAAAAAAATAAAAAAAAATGTTTTGCATGATTATCATTAATTAGAAAGAATTTAAAAATATTAAAAGTCCATTCGATGTGACTATTTGATTTTAATTTTAAATTTTCGACTCAAAACGAAGATAAACACATTCCATCGTGTCATCATTTTTCAGTTCTCTAAAAATCAATTCACCTATTAATTTCTTGACTAATTATTATTAATTGATTCAATTTGTGAATCCAAGATAATAAAATTATTAATTAATTTCAATGAAGAATTTGATGGAGATTACAATATTTATATATGTACTGTGATAAAAAGATGATAAGTACACACATATACATATATATATATATATATATAAAATAAATCAAAAAAAATAATGAATGAAATTTTTTATATATCGTTCAAAAATATTTAAATTATAAATAGGAAACAATTTTTAATAAAAAAAACGAATTTTACAATATAAATACATAAATCTATAATATATCTATACAATCTTAAAAATATAATAATTAAACAAATATTTTAACCAAAATTTTCATTTTCTTAAAGATAAAATATAAAACAGTGAATGGAGTAATTTCAATGCATTTATAAGAAATAAACGAGCATAATATATATATATATCTATATATATATATATATATATATATATATATATATATATATATATATATATATATATATATATATATATATATATATATATATATATATATATATATATATATATACATTTATAGTTGTAGTAAATAGTTGCAAAAAGATAATTTCATTTTTCATTTACAAAAGGCACATTGTACATAGAAAAAGATCAACAGCTTGCATACACGAGACACGTCATTCATTCTTGTTTATGACAATTCCCTAGAGAGGCGACAACGTGTACTATCTTGAATATAGTGAATCAACTGCTATAAAATAGCTGCGTGCAAGTATTTTAATGGTACCGTAAGCCGCTATCTGGTAGATCAAGCGCGGCATTTAGCATGCATCAACTGGCTT